GCCCGCCCGGGGGTCCGCCAAGGTGCGTCTCCAGGCTGACGCGGCCGCCTGGGGCACAGCGAGCTGGACGCGCCGCCTGCAGTGCTGGCTGCTGCTTTTTATTTACTAGGAAACACGGTTCCCTGCAGGAGAGTTTGGAATTTCGCAGGCACACACACACTCACGCTCGCGCGCACACACACACACATGCACACACGTTAGCGCGCTGGTTCTTCACAACTGCATCCCCAAACCCACAGAGCGAAGCTACTGCGGTTTCTCTTAACCATCATCGTGGGGTGAAGCAGAGCCTTTGTACATCAGGGAGAGCCCGGTGCCTGCGCTGCAGCCTCGGGTACAAAACCCAGCAGACCGCTCACCCCATCGGGTAAGCCAGTCTCTCCTTATGAGCTGTTTGGGGTTGGTGCTGGCGGGAGAGGTTGGGAGGTTGCTGGTGCGCCAGTGGGGCCGGGACCGGAGTTGAAATTTCTGGGGCATGTAGCCCAAGCAGCTTCTTTCAGCGTCGTCTAGCGGGAGCAATTACTACTCCACTTACTTATTCTACCAACCCTGGAGTTGTTCCCCCCCTTCTCCCTTCCCCCAGCCCTGAATGTGCTGTGCTTCTTGGTTGCCAAGGAGACTTGCTGGAAACATCAGCTTTGGGACATCTATTGAAAGAACGGGTTTCTTAAGTGTTGCTTTTATTTATTTTGTTCTTAAAAACAAAATATACACCGAGGAAGACACCACGTGATAATTTGGCATTCGATAATCTGTATTCAGGTGACAGTTTCATTCAACTTCGAGAAAAGCGGTAATTGCAATTGCAGTGTATGGTATCATTTAAAGAAAAGAATTCGTCAGGTAAATTTTTCAGCGGATTGTGTCTTGAATCCTAAATTACTCCCATTTTAACGATCTTATAAAGAAAAGTGTTTCCTATTAAAACCCCTCCTTCTTTATTACAACATTATATTTGGCAGTCCACTTAGGCATGATTATGTTAACATTAAAAGCAGAAAATGAGTTAATTCTGATTCCACACATAAGGATGTCCTTTTGTTCTAAATTGAACAGAATAGGAATATATTCAATATATGCGAATTCCTAACATAAGGAGATAGCATTCAGGACATAACATATTTGCTAACATTTCTGTATCCATCACACTCATCACCTCTTATCCATCACCTCTGTACCTAAAACATCAGCGGTTTTCTATACTTCTGCCCATTTTTGAGAAGATTGTTTTCTTTCAGGTTTCTTATTGATTTTGAGACATATCTATCTACATGAAGATAGATATGTATCTATAGATAGATAGATAGATAGATAATTATATACCTCCATATAGATATGTAGATAGATAGATATAAATATAAAATGTGTGCCATAACTTATTACTTCTAAGCTTTTGGAACATATATTAAAATGTAGAGAAAAGAACGGAGAGAGAAAGATTTATCCATCCTATTGGGTTTTTTTTCTGATGGCTTGGCTTCTTTTCTAGAGCATTAGTTAGGCCCCAGGTAGAGGTAGGTCACAGGTCATAGGGATGCCTGATAACTGGGCTGTCAATTTTACTGAGGCCTCAGGTACCTACTGAATGAACTTAAAGCACAGCCCTTGAATCCAGGACTACACTTTGAATTCACTAGTTACACTTTTCATTAAGTACATACCTTTGTGCCAGCAGAATGACTTAGTAAAGATCCACTTGACACCATTCAATAAGTCTGTTTTCCTTTGAAATTTGTTCATCTTTTTATCAACTTTTATATAGGTTTTAAACTGTCATACAGAGTGTAATAATGTGAGGAACATGGAAGCCAATAGAAACAGGTTGTAAAGGAGATTTTGTGAGTGGGGGGATGCTGGAAATGAATAATGGGGACCACATATTACATTACAGTTTATAAAGTATTTTCATACACTTTTTTTCAAATCCCCTAACAATCTTGTGAAAGTTGTCAAGGAATTATCTTCATTTTAAAGCTGAGGGGCATAGACTCAGAGCTTGCTGAAGGTCTGAAGAAAACCCTTTGTGGGTTCAGACTCTGTGTGCAGGGGTCTGACAGGTAAAATGAAGGCGTGGCACAGACCTTGCTGGAAACACTGGGAAAGAGAGTTCTTCATTCTGTAAACTATAAACATGGGCATTCCTACTCCACTGTAGCTTGTGTTGCCATCACCCCCCCCCCCAACCTCAGCTCCAAAACATTTAATTTTTCAAGGAAAATGATAAATGCTTCCAGATCTTTAGTGTGAAGTATTCTTATATATATATAATATAAAAATTTATCTAGGCCACATGAGGCCTGTGGTCTTTCACTTTACCATCCATGAATACTGGGGTTTCAGTCAATTCTAAACTATTTTTCTCTAGTAGCATATAATTGTGAACACATATAACTATTATTATGATTGATTCTGATTTTGCTATTAATATCTCTAAAAAAATGCCTCATATTCTTTCTTCAATAATCAGTTTCAGGTTTGTTTTTGAGGCTTATTCTGCATCCTATATCTCAGAAAAATGAAAAAACATGAAGTGCTCTAAAGGAGGAATTTTTGAATCTGATGAAAAATAGCATTTTATGTTTCTGGCCTATTTATTTTATTCTAGCTAAGCATAAAATAAGCATAACATTAAGGAATACAGTAAAGTCAGTTGAGTACCTGACATTGTATGAAGAGGCAGAATAAAGAGTTGGTCAGAAAAAGGAGTTTCCTGAGTGCTTCAATGAAAAGGCCGTAGCTAATTAGTTAAAACCTATCACAGAATATTGCAGGATGACAAAAGGGACAAAAAGATAAATGGGAGCTCAAAGTGATGTTCACTTCTATCAGCTGTTGTAGACAATGCTGCTTATCTCTTAAATGTTTTAATGAAGCTTATGTCTTTTGAGAAAGGGTCAATGAACTTCACTGAGGTTGAAGCCCACTGAAGTTGCAGTCAGAAAAAAAGTGTTGTTTTCTTTTATGGATCCAAAGAGTTGTCATTTAAAAAAAAAGTCAAAATTTGGATATTGGTTTCTATTAGTTCTCTTCTAATATCATCAGCTAAAAGGATGTTTTAATAATAAATGAATGTATTTCAGTTTTCAATTCATGGAACTGTGTTGTACTGCTAGTAAAGAGCTATGCAGATATTCCTTGATACTCACTGGGTGCTGAGGAGATAATATATCTGTCCTCAGGGATTCAGTACAAACAAGTATACGGCTCCTGGCAGTTTCCACTTTTTCAGTGACTTCTACATGTAAGCTATTTTTATCAATATATTGGCTCCACAATACTTTATAGAATGTGCACTTTGATCCCATTTTTCAAAAGAAGAATACAAGGCTATGTGAAGTTAAACTGTCCAAATGAAAGAGAAATGTAATTCTCAGCAACTATTTTTACTTCATATCTAGCCTTTGCCAATTATTCTAATGGAGGCTACAGACATGTACATAATTGTGATTTTGGAGGCAGTTATATGTTAAATGCTACAATAGAGATACACTATTTCACAGATGCAAATATGGAAACAATAAAAAAGCATTATGATAGTGGGACTTGGGTAGGGGGAGAATTAGTGCTGGACTTTGATGACAATGTTTGATTATCTTAAATCACAATCCTTTAGCTAACCAAGGATCTGAAACTGCCAGAAAGCTGTTGGAAATATGAGTTGGGAAGATAATGTTTGTGATAACTGATATTGGTGAGCTAGCTCATCATTGTAGCTCAGGGAATGGCATAAGTTCTGGGAAGAAATATGGTCTACAACATGGAGTGCAGGAAGATTATGGAACTGGGGGTGTGTGGGAGGGTATAGAGGAAGGCAGTTGGCAAGTAGACTAAGGGGATACATAGACATAGAAGAGAATCAGAGATTCTTCTAAAGGACTGAATAGCAGGGCAAAGAATGGACCAACTATTCTGTTCTCTAGAATGTCTGGTACCTAGCAAATAGTTATTTGCTACTAATGGTTATGTTGTACCCATTGTCTGGCACATAACTTTACTCTTGTGGTCTTATTTTTTTCTGTGAAAAGAAAGCATACATATATATTTTACATAAACTCAATTGGGGTGGACAAATGCTTATATTTTCAAAAACAGAGAAAGAGTTTCTGCAAATTAGATTAAAAAATAAGGACATTTTCTTTTAATGTGGTCATAGACTTCGAAGTTAGGTAACTTGCAGTTCAAGATTTTAATGATAGACACTTTTTTTTTTTAAGATTATTTATGCATACAGAACTGGGGTACAGGCCAGAGGTGCAGGGGTGGTGAGAGGATTCACCGAGACAGAGCAAGGAGTAGAACAGGCCAACTGATGAAGTACACTGCTGAGGGGACCAGCAGGCGGGTCAGGAGAGGTCGCTGCGCCATGTGGATCACCTCCAGGACTGGGGATCGAACTCATGCTGAAGTGGCTTTAGCTTCATAGTGCTGTGCTTTAACCTGCTGCGCCATCAGGGAGGGCCTGATAGATACTTTTAATAAAAGCTTACTGTATCTGTGGGACAAGTGAGGAGCATGTAAACTACTACAAATCCCGAGGGAAGCCCTTAGTGACAAATAAGTGTACTCTCCTCTCGATCCTGATTGAGTCAACATTTTTATTTGTTTTCTGAATGGAGATATTTAAAAAGATATGACAAGCAAGTAGAAGTTAGACTTGTATTTAAGTATTGTAGCAATAACTAGGTGAGAACTATTTGTTAGGTTGATGAGCACAGTCACAGGATAAAATAAACGAGGAGACATGTCATAGCTAGCTAGAGTCTAGCACTGAGGCCATTTGACCTGACAGGAGATCATTTTCAACTGAGAAGGACACTACTTCCCATCAAGTACGATAGAAACTAATCTTATGACTTGCCCTCACAGACTTATTTGGCAAGTAATGGCAAAATATTATGAGCAATGATGTAAGGAGCTCATCTTTGTTATTATATGTAGCTTTTGGTGACTGTGGAGACTGACTTGATTGATTAAGACGGTACCTTAGTCTTCCTTTTTTCCTTATGTGACTGGTTCTCATTTTGGAATTTCTTTCAGTTAGGAAAGTAGAGCTTGAGGATTTATTCTCATATATTTTACTTTCCCTGATTGGGACTGAGTAGGTGGAACTCCTTTCACTGATCTTTCCTCTGGTTCTGCTATTTCTTAGGCCCTTTATGACATAAGCATTCTTGTGAAGATTTTTGTGAAGAGGTACAGAAGGCACTCAGCAACTTTCTTCATATTTATTTTGTTCTTGCCATGTTTCATATGCACATTGCAATGCAGAATACATTTAATTTAATTTGATTTAGACATATGGCACTATAAATTTTGGTGAGCTTTTTAAAAGAACTATGTATAAAAAACAGTTTTGCAAACTTGACT